AGTGTGGAGAGCAATAATAATGAAAGGGACTGGGTGAAGTCAAGGCAATCTTTGAGGAAAGTACGGATAGATGTGGAAGGTAGTATGGGTCCATACTACTGAAAGCAGAGGATCCGTACTCGAGTCAAGGAGAACTGAGATTAAACCAGGGAACTTGTAGTGAGCATGAGGTCTCTCAATATTATGTATGACTCTGACGATTATGTGGTTTGTTTCAGAATGGTGATAGATTTTAATTTTTTATATCATTTTTACTTAATTTTACTAAATCAGACTTCATTCATAATTTTAATTTGTAATTTATTGTGTTGTGCTTATATATATATATATATATATATATATATAATATATATATATATATATATATATATATATATATATATATATATATATATATATTACGTTATAATCATTTTTAATTTGCAAGCTTCTTCTCCATGCATGGTACCTTGATGATGGCACACTTCTTGGAGATTATGAGGAGGTGGCCAGAGCGTTAGACATTATTAAGGTTATGGGCCAAAAATTGGGCCTTCAATTGAATATCAAGAAAATCGAGCTCTTTTGGCCCTCGTGTGATGGTAGGAAGCTGCATGAGGGGTTATTTTCGGTTGGCATCAGGAGGCAGCCATTGTGGGTGAACTTCTCGGGGGAGCTGTTAGTAGAGATGCTAATGTCATTAGCAGCTTAGCCATAAAGAGAGCTGAAAACGCTGTAAATTTGATGCGCCTTCTTTCACAATTGTCTGACCCGCAGAGTGAGCTCCTTCTACTTCGGTCTTGTATGGGTATTGCGAAACTTTTCTTTGTGTTGAGGACGTGTCAACCCATTCACATGGAGGAGGAGGCTTTGTTTTTCGATCATGGGTTGCGCGGGGAGATTGAGGACATTGTGGTGGCCCTTTCTTTGGCGACATACAGTGGTGACTTGCTTCCTTACCCATTCGGTTTGGTGGTTTGGGTTTATACTCGGCAGTATAGGCTACCTCATATGCTTTTGTTGCCTGAAGGGCCCAATCTTGGGTATTGCAAGACCACATCTGACGGGATAGCGGCATTCAAAGCATGGATTTTGATTATGCTTGTGCCTTAGTCTCTCTTCCTAACAAGCTTCCGAACATTGACCTTAGCAGTTTTACTACTAAGGACACCGCCCCCCTTAAATCCCAGAATACACTAGTGAGTTCCCTTTTTAGTAAAAGTGCCCCAGATATGGAAGTGCATTTCAACATGACGGCTCGGCAGAAAGCAATTTTACAGTGTTTACGTGCACCGCATACTCAAGATTTTCTTCTAGCTATCCCTATAGATGGGCTTGGCCAACATATGTCTCTTGTGGAGTATCATACCATCCTCAAATATCGACTCATGATTTCAATATTCCCAGCCGACGAGATATGTCTGGTGTGTCGCAAAGCATGTTTGGACTCTTTTGGAGAGCATGCAGATCATTGCAAAGAACTTCTGGGGTTCAAATACGGGTATGATATGGTTAGGGATGTTTTGGTCGACATATTTAAGCGTGCCAGGATTTCCGCTAAGAAAGAGGCTCCTGTTAATTTCCTGACTGACCCAACAAAAGGAAGGTCAACCCTTAGACCGACCGACGTTTTGATTTTTGGATGGGTTGGAGGGAGGGAAACATGCATGCGTGGACCTTACAGGGGTATCCCCTCTCGTAGGCTTGAGAGTCGTGGGTTTCACGGTGGGACAGGCTGCATTAAAAGCTGCCACATACAAGGTCACCAAACATGAGAAATCGTGGACGGAAAATTAACACGTGTTCATACCATTTGTATTTGATACGTTTGGTTTTCTTGCGTCGAATGCAGTGGGGCTTCTTAGTAGAGTACAATGGATCATACATAGCAATGTTATATCCCCTAGATCTGTGGATGTAGTCTTCAAGAAAATTGGGTTTGTCATACAAAAAGGCTTAGCGGCACAACTTGTTGCCTGTTTGCCTTCTCATTTGTTGTACGATGATAACTAAGATGTTTTCTCAGTTTGGTGATTATATAATAGTAAAATTGTAACTACTGAATTGGCAAGGAATGTTATGATTAAATTGTATATTTGATTTTCATGATTGGTTGTATTTTTTTACTCTATTCAAATTTATATTGCATTGTAATTTTACCAACTCCTTACACATACATAATGTAGATCGGATTTTCATAACAATGTACATATTAACACCACAAGGAATGAGGCCTATAGCGACGACACTTTCAGTAACAATGCCGACGACATGCCGTCGTAAAAGCCTATACGACTACTTGTCGTCTGTACAAAGTCGTCGGTAAAAGTGGAAAATGTTGTCGGGATAGATGTCGTCGATACAAAGTCGCCAATGTCGATGACATGTCCTCTTCAGAGAGTCGTCAGGACTGATGTTCGAGGGGAAAAAAGTTTTATTATAAACCTATTCCGACGACCTATCGTCGGTATAAAGGTCACCTTTACCGACAACATGTCGTCGGGACAAGGTTAAGCAATACAGACGACATGTCGTCTAGAAAAGCGGGTGGTAGACAACTTCTATTTTAGTACTAGAGACGACATGTCATAGATAAAGGTGAAAAGATTTACAATTATAAAGCTATACCGACGACATATCATCTGTATAGCCTTTTTTTTCCACAGATTTTGTTATATATACCAAACATGTTTGTTAAAACAAATCCAAATAGTATATATGCAGAATAATATTAAACACTTAATAACCATAACAAACCATTAAAATAAAAAAAAATCTACTACATAGCAAAATAACAAAAAAAAAATCTTCAACAAACATTGTTCAAAAATAACATAAAAGATCAATCGGAATCTTCATTGTTCACGTTCTCATTGTCGTCCTCGTTCTCCTCCTCCTCGAGCTCGTTGGTTGGTTCAGGGGAATTATGTGAAAACATATTGGGATTGAATTGGAATTGCTGTATTGGTTGTGATTTGAAGTTAGGAATGAAGGACGCGAATGTGCTATTATACATTGTTGCATATGTAGCATTTGTTGTTGCATGTATTGTATTTGTTGGGGCAATGTAGCAACTTGGGAATTATCTCAAGATAGGGATATGGAAGCTTTAGAACGGTTGGGATGTTCATTTGGAAATAAATTATTATGGTTGCATAGTTTCCTTCCAACACCACGAATATGTCTGTATCTCTCACCGAGGGCACGAGTGAGACAATGTTCTTCATTTAACTTTTTGTTCTCTCTGAGCTCTTCTTGCATCAACATCTTCTTTTGTTGAATATTTTCCTAAAATAAATAAAACAATAAACATACATTAATTAAAATAAATAACTAAATTTATACACTAAAATAATAATAATATACCTTAAAATAATAATAATAATAATAATAATAATAATAATAAGGGATAATGCCATAAAAAGCCTCAAGTTTGGTTGAGAATGACGGTTTTACCCTTTGACGAAATTTATGTTCGTTTTTGCCGCAAACTTGCAACTTTTTTTTTCAGTTTTGCCTTTTTTAGGGTTGATCCGATCATATGTACAAGTAGCGAGCCACATGTATACTGACGGAGATCTCAAGCTACCTTAGGCACTGACGTGGAATGCCACGTCAGATGGTCCCTTTATAAGAAAAAATAATCACATAGAGGAAAAGAATCAAACATGGATCGCCCAACTCAACTACACAGCACCCCTTCCATTTAGACTAGACAACGAATTTGATTTTATCCTCCTTGAAATTACTATATATACTAATCGAAAAACTTATATATTATATAAGTATACAAATTTTCATATTATTTATGTATTGAACATGTAACTCTCTGTAATTCCAGTATTTTTTTTTTGGTTTACCAATATAATTACTTATTTTGCTTTCGTGTTTTGAATATAAGTATGGATTTTTTTTCGTATTATTAATACAAATACGTTTTATTGTATTTTCAAAACTAGAAATACATTTTTAATGGTATTTATATATTTTAAAACGTATTCACACACTTAAAAAATATTTTTACAACTAAAAACAAATTTATATTTTTACAATTAAAAAATATTTTTGCATTTAAAAACGTATTTTATACCTTTACAAATATATTTAAACCTTTAAAAATATATGTATACACTCATAAATAATAATAATAATAATAATTTGTATTTTTTATATTATTTATTTATTAAAGACATATTTTTCTTATTATTCATTCAAATTATTTATAAACATATTCTTACAAAAAAAAAAATTTAGAGTTGTTAAAAAAATATACATTTTTTAGAAATATAAAAACGTTTTTAAGTATAGATGTATTTAATAATATATATATATATATATATATATATATATATATATATATATATATATATATATAATGTCTTAAAGACTAAGTATTTAAAAGTGTAGATACTTTTTCTTAGAGTAGTTCAAAAAAACTAAGTATTTAAAAAGTGTAGATAAGTTTTCTTAGAGTAATTCAAAAAAATATACACTTTTTAGAAGTAAAAGCATATTTATATATATTTAAAAACGTATTTATATTTATAATAATATATTTAAATAGTATTTATATATTTAACGATAACTTATTTATAAATATTTATAGAAGTAAAAACATATTTATATATTTAAAAACGTATTTATTTTTATAAAAATATATTTATACATTTAAAAACATATTATACTTATAAAAACGTATTTATAAATTTAAAAACATATATACTTATAATAATAATAATAATAATAACTATTATTATTATATATATATTAAAGTTATGAAAAATAGTAACAGTAAACTGCATTAGGAGTTGGCAGAATTGGTCCTTGTTTATTATGTGACAGAAATGGTTCGCTTCTTTTATTGAATTACAGTTTGGTCCCTTAATAATGTAATTAATATATATATATAAGTTTAGTGGGTTATCGATCCACCGCTCCTTTTTAGTTCCAGATCCTTCCACCGCTTTGACCGCTTCAACCTTCTACATACCTTCCACCGCTCATCCACCACTTTGATCGCTTCAACCTTCTACATACCTCATCCTTTTCCTTTCCACCTCCTTCTGTAGTTCGATTAGGGCTCCACGTCGACCTCCGCCATCAGCATGCAACTTTGTCGTCTCCGACTTCATCGATCTGCTGAAAAAATTAATCAATGACGAGATGAAAGATCTAGATAAAGATGATAGAGAAGAAACACGAAGGAAATTGGTGGCGATGACGTTTGTCATAGTCAGAGAAAAACGATGATGGAGGGGAGCTGGTGACGCTCGCGCCAAAGTTGAGTCAACAGGTACATGCGTTCCACTCATATTCACCTTCGATCAGAAACGCACGGTCGTCTTCCATCGTATTCTCCTTCAAAACCGTTTTTCCCACAGATTAGGGTTCGGTTTTGGTTTTAACAAACATCTCAGGTACCGCTACCCCGTTTTCCCTGTTTCAATTTCGATTCGTTTTTTGTGTTTCATATACTTCTGCCTCCTCAATCTCCCAATCAGTTGTTTACACATTTCATTACACCCACCAAACCTCACCGCCGATGCCCTCCAAACAACCTGCTCTGTCGCCTTCTTGCATAACCCAATTCGAAACAGATGAGATATTGAAGATGGGTTCCAATCAACCGCCGGCAACTGTTGTACTTCAACCGTATGTTCTTCTCGGGAAGCACATCAATGTCGTGGATCGACAAATCCACTCACGTCTACCTCGCCCGTTAAGCGAAGGTAACACGTACAGTTCAAATTATACAATTATGTTGTTAAATAACTTCAATTTCCTTCAAATTAGGGTTTAAAATCGATGAATTTGACTTTTTGTTCCCGTTGTTTCTGTTGCATGTGGTGGTTTCAGATAAGATATTGTTACATTTAGTTATTTTTTAATCAAATTTATTCTGTTTTTAACTAGATGTGGTAAATAATTCAAATTCTTGTTTTACATTTTAATTTATTACTTTTTTACCATCCAATATAAAAAGTAAATTGATTATAGGCTATGGTGGTGTTTGTTTGTTCATACAACTGAAAAGAAGTGATAATTCGTTGTTTGCATGTTTACAGAGATTTTTGTGCAGTTCTTTGACCAGTGGTGGCGAACATGCTTCGGTTGGATATGAAACAGGTTCTATTTACTAATCTTGATTGTCAATTTCTAATTTCCTTAAAATGCTATGTGAATTTGAAGTAACAAATGGGTTTGACCTATGAGAAACCTTCTCTGATCTACCTTCAATCATGAACAAATTGACTGGGCGCACAAAAGATGTCATGGGTTTGATCAACTGGTACTGGCTCTTTAGTCTTTCCTTTAATATCTTTTGATTGAAAGGGGCTATTAGTCATGTGTTGATGTCTTTTTTTTTCATCTATAATCTCATTTTTCCAGGTTTTGACTTTTCATTGAACGACCAGTACGTCGCATCGTCTTCACTGGATAAAATTGTGAGGGTTTAATGGGCTTTGCATTCGAGTAATATATGGAGTTACTTCTCAGCTTTGTATTCGTTTTCATCCTGTAAGTTCACATCAAATATAACTTTCTCTTGCTTATATTTATGTTCTTATTCCTTTATTTGTAACCAACATAATAAACTTAGGAGATGTTTCTCTTTTTTCCCTGAATGAGTAATGATGTATGTATGGATAAAGTGATGTATACACATCGTAGACTGAATAAAACGTCTGAACGAGACTAAATTTCATAGTATTCACGTCAGAGGAGTTAGGAAAAAAAAGCCCAAATAGCCATCTATGAATGAAAATCAGTAATTCTTTTTTCCCTAATAAATACAGGTGAATAATAACTTCGTTTTACTTGGCAATGTTTAAAAATAAGTCTCGACAATTAATTCATATCCTTCACTGCTTCTTTATTTCTTTAAATTAATTTATTATTTCTTTTTTTACTGTTTCAGATATTCAATTTTAGCAGGGGAAGATTAATAAGTAAAACAGTTGTGGAAAGTGAGGTTACCACTCTGTATTCAATATTCAATTTTTTTTTACTTTTTTTATTATTTCAGATATTCAACTTTTTTTACTCTTTGTCGCTCACACTAATGTTAAACTTCTAATTCTGTTTATTGGTTAATTTTACATGTCTCATAGACTGGTCCAGCCACAATTGCAGACGCCATGATCTAAGGTCTCCCCATCATTCTAAACGATTACATTGTTGACCAGGTAATTTTCTTATTAAAGTTGATTTTAGAATGCAAGGGTAAAAATGTCATTTTTGTCTCAACACCTTAGAAATCTGATATTGTGCAGGAAGTTGGAAATGTACCCTATGTAGTGGCAAATGGATATGGGAAATTTTGAAAGTCACCAAAAGAGATTGCAGAAATTGTTGGTGAATGGTTTGGTCCTAAAGCACATGAACTCAAGAGTATGATAGGGCTTGATCTGAATTTAAACTATTACAGATCAGTCACAAACATTGAATATTAAAACACAACATAAATTCAATCTGGGCACATATCTGTTTCTTTCTGAGAATTTTTTTTAAGAAGACTCAAAAAGGATAGAAGAACAAGAGGATAACATGAGCAATGGTACACAAACATTGAATATAAAAATACAACATAAATTCAATCTGGGCACATATCTGTTTCTTTCTGAGAAATTTTTTTAAAAAGACTCAAAAAGGATAGAAGAACAAGAGGATAACATGAGCAATGGTACACAAAAATTAGCCGGAAAAAGAAATTTATAGATAAAAGCAGATGAAAAGTCAACATACCCACAGTGTGTAAATGACGCTAATTTTCGGTGTCGTTTTCGTGTTATGCTCTGATTTTTTCTATGTTTTCAAATGATTCCTTATTAAATCATTATACTTAAATTCTGAATATATGTTTTTGTTTGTCTGTGTAGCTTTAAGAATCCAACATATGTGTTTTAAAAAGAGAATAGATCTCAGTTTACTTCTACTTTATTTCATTTTTAGGCATCATACTTTCATAGTCAACCAACTATAGCATCATACTTCCATCACGAACGACTGATAAACGATGACACCATCTTTTACATAATGTCTCCAGTCGGTTTTCTTTGATATTAGCGGCGAATCTGACCCCCGCAAAGCAGGGGTTCCTATCTAGTTATAATTATAATTATACTTATAATTACTTTTCTTCAGTTTTATATAATATATCATCATTCTACATCAAAAAACGGAAGTTCTCCTTCAGCTTAGTGGTAAGGCGCCTCCTAATGTTTGTGGGAGGCATGAGTTCGATTCTTGACTGTTCATTTTTCTTTGTATTAAATTTTTCTGGCACAGCAAACAAAAGATCCAATCAGCGCCTACATGGCAATACACCTGGCATAGCTCACCTGTTACTATGTGCAAAACCTGATAAATTACCGGCTCAACCTCTAAAAAGTTCAAAACCGAAAAACAATTGCAAGTTTGCGATATAAACGAACCTATATTTCGTCAAATGGTAAAACCGACATTTTTGTTTATTACTTACCCAATTTACTGAACACCAACCCCGACTTTCTTTAAATCATATTTGTCTCCAACCATCGATATGTTGCGGGTCTTGTCCATTTGCTCTCTATAATAAGCCAAAAACAATTAATATATTTATATAAGTGTCAATAAAAAATTTATATAATACAAATAAATTTAATTACCTCATCGCAACGTCTGTCTGTATATAATCTACTTCCATGAGAACTCGTATATGGAAGTTTGGCCCTAGTTTCTTTATCTTTTTCGCACTGATTCTTATAACCCTCGTCTAAAAAAATAAGATCAATCATGTCATCCCAAGCTTGGTCGTCCATATCATCCGGTGGACATTGTCTTGCACCTTCCACATCATCATATCTGCCAACCCCATCAAAATATTTTTTCACATCATGTTTGTGCTCTTTATAAACTCTTTGGCAGTCGCTCTGTACAGCCGCTCGAACGGCTTCCCACATATATGTACCTCGATACATATCAAGATCAAAAAATGATTGCAATAAAAAACAAATTTAATTAGTGAAAATGTAACATCCATAAAAATTCATAAAAATTTAAACTTTTTCAAACCAACCAAAAATCATATGTAGCACCCGATTCTTGGTACGTATTTAATTAAAGAAATTCATGTGTTTTCTCTGGGACTCGACGAGTTGGTGGCCCAACTCGTCGAGTAGAGTCGTGATCCACGGGAGTTTAAATGACCTACTCGACGAGTCGGGAGACCTACTCGACGAGTCGGGAGACCGACTCGACGAGTAGGCGCTGTTTGAGTGAAACCCTAAATTTGAGGGTTTGCACCCTATTTAAACATCTTATCTTAGTTTCCATTGTCCCTTGTACTCCCAGAAGACATCATATCGAAACCCTAGCCGTTTTTGTGTGTTCTAAGGCCATTTTGGTGCTTTTGGTGGGTTGTGAAGCTTGAGAAGAGGGAAGGAACTTGTGAGACCAAGGGGAAACAAGAAGATCCAGAGTTTGAAGCTAATTTTCAGCTTATTGGAGGAATGAAGCTGAACCTTTGTCTATAGTTCTTGATTTTTGGGCCTTTTCCTTCATCTTTCTAAGCCCTAGAGAGGTTGTATTCGGGATTTAGTGTTGGAAGTCAGTGTATGCTTTAGATCCAGGTCTATTAGGGGGTTTTATGGCACAAAGGTGCCCATTTTGTTGCAATGAATACCCCATGCACTTTGGAGGCCATCTTTTATGGCCTTTTGGGCCAAAGACCCCTTGCATGTGTACCAAGTTTGGAACTTTACGTGTAAAATGGACATTAGGAGGCCAGATCTATGGTTTTGGTGTGTTAAGACCCATTTAAATCGACTGTACAGTGTTGGTCAAGGATGGACTCGACGAGTTGTTCTTGGAACTCGGCGAGTCGCGGTGTATTGACCACCAAATCCTTTCTGTGGATGGACCGGTTGTTAGGAAGGAAGTCCCTTAGTTGTTTAGACACGTAAAGGGACCTGGGAATCATAGGACTCGGCGAGTGTATGAACAGACTCGGCGAGTCCAAGGCAATCTCCCAATCTTTGAAGATGGACTCGACGAGTTGTTCATACAACTCGACGAGTCATAGGCTGGACACATTCTTATGAGGGAGATGAACTCGACGAGTTCAAGGTCGAACTCAGCGAGTCGGATGAAGATGGCCCCGATGGTATGATTGAAGAAGAACCTGTCGAGTTCTTGCTAGACTCGACGAGTTGAGTCGGGGATTGATTCGAGTTAGAGGGATATGGACTCAACGAGTTGGTTGACCAACTCGGCGAGTCAGGTCAACTGGATGTTGACTTTGACCAATGTGGACTTTGACTGAATTGAGTTGACCCTGGTTTGGGTTGCATGTTCGAATTAATGATTTATAAGGGTTGCCATGTAGGGATTGAGGAGTCGAAGGGAGTCAACTTTCACGCCAAGGACATTTCAGACACTGCACGACATCGAGGTGAGTTACCTTCCAGTAGAAGTGGGTCTAAGGCACCAAGGTCGGCCCACTGGTAATTGTTTAGTTGTGGTGATTGTCTTTGTGATAATCATCTAGGTTGCTTGTGATTGATATATGTGTATGCTAGTGTGTGATGTTATGTGAGATAGTATCAGTAGGAGGGGACTAGTCCCCGATTCGGTCACTAGGACCAATGGGTATGTCGGACACCCCAGATATGTCTGACATCACGATTATGATATGACATTATATGCTAGCGGTAGGGGGTGAAATAGTCCCCGTATTCGGTTGAGATAGACCGGAGGGTAGGTGGGCACCCTAGAATAGCCTGACACGGGTAGGTCAGCACCCCAGAATGGCTTGAGATGGGTAGGTCAGCACCCCAGAATGGCTTGACATGGGTAGGTTGGGCACCCCAGAATTGTCCGACAATATGTATGTGGTTTTGGTATGTGGTATGATGGGGGGACTCACTAAGCTTTGTGCTTACAGTTTCAGTTTTGGTTTCAGGTACCTCTTCGTCCAAGGGGAAGGAGCTGGCGGTGTAGCAGCGCATCACACACATGATTTCCGCATGGAGTTTCTGGGATTGTACTCTGATTTTCATAACTCTTGATATTGTGATTTTGAAACATGACGTTATGGCTTTTTTTTATAAGTTGATGCAACTTGACAATGTTTTGGCATACTATTTCATGAGGTATTTAATTTAAAAATGAAATTTTTGGCCTTGAAAATTGGGAGTTACATCATAATTGTTAACATTGTAGTTTTCAAAACATGTTTAACATCATAGTTTTTCCCAAAATCACAAAACACAACATGAAGAGGTGCACGATCAAGCCTTTGCCTTTCCACGATCATTTGAGGTACCTGAAACATAACCCAAAACTGTAAGCTCAAAGCTTAGTAAGTTCCTCCAAAGTACCAACACAACAATAACACATATACAATAACAACATACTATGAGTCCAATCAACCCCCTCAACCATCGGGTTGGAATGCCAACATACTATGGGTCCAATCAACCATCGGGTTGGAATACCCCAGACCCCACAACCATCGGGTTGGAATGCCAACATACTATGAGTCCAATCATCATCGGGATGGAATACCCTAGGCCCTCAACCATCGGGTTGGAATGCCCAGGCCTGTTGTCTTACGCACAAAGCAGTGAAGCCTCAGCCATCGACCAAACATGTGCACATAATACAGATAAGCATACCATTAACCAGCCATCAAACAGATAAACAGATCTTACAGATCATTAGGCATAACATCATCCTATCTACCAGGATACCAATCTAACAGATCACTATAGCATAACATCATCCTATCTACCAGGATACCGATCTAACAGATCTCAACAGTACAAAAAAATGCATATCATGATATCAATCCAAGGGTCGGCATTGGTGCCTTCGACCCGCAAGTACAGTGAGGAAAGCTCACCTCACAAGCTTAACTGAACTGATAAAGTCCGACTCCGAATCTCAGCTCTCTACTAAATGCCTACATCCACCAAGTGACTAATTCCATCAAAATCCCAAAAATACCCAAAATACCCTCAACATTCAAACTTAGTCAAACATGGACAAACTCCATAAATCCACTGAGTCAACCCAACCGACTCAACCCAATCGAGTTAACTCAAAGTTGGTTGTTCCATGCGAGTATGTGGGGAGTACTCTGGAGGTATGCTCAACTTACGCAAGCCTCGCATTGACTGATTATAGGGGAGCTGACCGAGTACGTAGGGGGTACTCCCTTCTATGCGGGGCGAAACCTCGCAACTCCATATTCTTTATTAAGTGCTTAGTGGCTTCATCACTTAAGCTCCAACTTTAGATCCAAGGTCCATAGGCATACTAGAGTCATAAAGTTTCCAAATTTATGAATCTACACATCCATAAATTCCTTAACACAAGGTCTTAATCCATTAAGACCATTCTACAAGATGCATTGAGCCAAACTAGCTAAAGGGGCCTCATTCTTATCGCTTAGAACCCTTCTTAGGGTCTGAAAGGACAGCCCAAAACGTCTAAAACCAAACATGCATAAAAATGGGACTTTTAAGACAAGAAGAGCCACAAAAGCTACCAAAATGAGATCTAAGCAAACAAAGCATCAAGGTGAAGACTTTTTACCTTCTAAAGCTTCCCAAGAAGGTGATGATCCAAGATCCATAAGCTTACTCCATCTTCTAAGCTCCTTGATACAACTCCTTCTTCCTCTAACACACCAAGAACACACCAAAAAACACACACTTAAGCTCCAAAATGAACACTCAAAGATTAGGGTTTGAAAAAATGTCCCAAGGGAGTGAAGGCTGAAAGGTGGAAAGAAAATGAGACAATATGATGCTTAAATACCCCTCAAACCCTAAAATTTAGGGTTTCCTCCTGACATGAGTATGCTCAGCGTACGTGAGTGTACGCCTAGCATACTAGGGCGCGCCCTAGTATGCTCAGCGTATACACATGTACGCTTAGCGTACTCCTCCTGCCCATATTACAAAAATGCCACTAGGTCTTCTTATGGCTA